TGTGGCGGATAAGAATAGGAAAAATACAAGAGTATAATTTAACCAGGAGTAAAAGTAAATGCAGGGCATCCTGATGCGAAGAACATAAAAAATAATGGCTCTGCATAAATCACGAGAAGGATTCCGGTTGGAAGAATTAGTTATGAGGTTTCCTTTAAAGATAAGGCTAATCAAAGGTATGGGCAAAAAAGCAAGATCTCATAATGGGACTACAGATATGAGTAAATATAGAGGCGAAGGTTTACAGTGATTATATAAGATGACCGGAGTCGTTAAGTCCTCTCAAAGGCAACGCGATAATCTCGCCTGCGGGTCGACGAAGATAGGGGAAGAGAAGGTTGACTGAAGAAGATTTTTTTGCGTCCAGACGATTTTCAGATGAGTGCTGAATAGGAATGCTTTTATGCTGGCCCAAATTAGGGATCCAGCGCCGAGACACAAAATGTGAGCGGCGCAGAGCCAGATGAACAGGCGCTATTTCCTGACTGACGGTGGCAACGATAGGTGTCTTATTCTCATGTTCGTCAGCAGGGAGAAAATCTATACTTGCTAATGGTGATACTGCTGTGACAAGAAGCTGTGTGTGTGTGTGGTGATCGAAACATTTTTTATCGAAGTCCTCTTGAAATAATCGAGTGCTTTGTTCAGGATGATACTGGTATGGATACTGATTCTGAGAAAATCCTGAAGAGCTTACTCTTTCATTGTCTTTGATTCTGCCTACCCCAAAGGTAGGCAAATTTTCCTTGGAGGATAACCTCATTTTCTGGCCATCAATGTTTGAAAAAGCATTAAGCTTGTCCTGTTTGGAGGTGGTTAGCTCCGACGTAGCGAATTGCAAGTCAATATTTGATTTCTCAAATTTTGCACCAAAAAAGCGAGTCAAAGGAGTGATTGAATTGTTAGCGGGAAGCGCTTGCAAAGATTTTGGACTGATGGCCACAGGTGTACACATCTCGAAAGGATCGTCGGAAGATGGTCTAATATGGCTGGTAGAGAAGGCAATATTAATATTTGTTGAGGATAAGCGTCGTAGACAACGACGCCACCAACGCTGCAGCACTATGGCAGCCGAAAAACGTGAACGGTACTGAAGATAGGCTGGTGGACCAAGGAGTTGAAGTTAAATTAGAAAAATATAAAAGATATAAAATGATCACCAAAAAACAAAAATGATTACTAAATCTCACATTGCTAGAAATGCAAATAAGATTAATAGCCCTCATTTCGCCCATTATAGCAAGGAATAGACGAGTCTTTATGACAAGAACAGGCGAGAATGAAACAATAGTACATTCTGGATTAAAATAACTTTTGGAAGGCAAGACTATGTAAAGTTCAATGAAAAATAATAGGTCTACTTATCTAATTATGGGAAAAATTAAGCTACCAGTCCTTTATCACTTAAAACAAAATATGCTAAAAAACTCTTATATCAGACCTAATTAGTAGTCTCTAAAACCTGCTTATGATGCGAAAAAAACAGAATATCCAACCAAACGATGAGATATCAAATTAAGTTTACAAGGTTAGGCTAAAATAAGTAGGCAGGATTGCAGTGAGCCACCGTTATTGCGCTTAATGAACTATCGTAAAGCATAGTGTACTGCTCTGATGATGTCCTTTACATGACGAACAAAAGCTCTGCACCGTATTCATCGTGGTAGTGGGAAGGCGAGCGGAGGACTTATTAATAAATATTTCCAGTCACAGCTCCAAGGAAATCCCGCTTCGGCCCTTCCACGCTTCTCTTCAAAAGTATTCCATAAACAAGTATTTTTCGCTTAATTTCACATAATCGTTATTTCTATTCTGGAATTTGTCCATTTTGTTGACTTCTCTAGATTCCCTAATGTTTCGTTTACTGTTATAATCTACATATCCAGTCTTTGGTTGTATACCAGCCTATCTGTATATGACTGGTGTTCAGCCAGTTCAGATTTTTGAACCAAGAAACATTTTCAGGCTGTTTTATTTTAAGATAACTTCTTATGGGCCAGTACTGGCCAGTAATTCCGGTCCACACAGAAGCTATCACATTAACACCTAACTATGTAACAGCCTA